AAACTGAGATTGGGAGATTGTAATTGCCCGAGGACTTCTTTGTTTGGGGTCCCTCTATGAAGGCACCCAGCTCGAGCTTTTCTATTGCTGCACCTTACTGGACTTAAAGCCTGAGGATCTGCTCCAGTACATGAGGGGTGGAGATACCTTGAAAATACAGCATACCTGGGGTGGAGGAGCTTAACATAAAAACCAACTCAACTAAGCAGAATGATTACTTCCACTAGACAAATACTCGTTTGCTATGACCACAATACAAAAGGCATTTTTTTTTCCAGATGCAGGAACTATCTATGAGAGTAGAAAAGAGAGAGTTTAATACTTTTCAGGTATTTTTTTGTAGCAATTACTGGGAATTCATACAGTATTTGTTTGAAATGTGTGTAAAGCACAACTCCTTAGACTTGTTGATCGTACTGGTGTTACAGAGCATGTGGCAGAGTGAAGCACAATGAAGTCTAAATTATGGCTTTCTCTCTGTGGATACAAAATCAGCAGTGAAGCTTTTACTCGAGGGCTGTATATTCGGATCATGGTATGAATTATGGGGAGAGAAAGACTAGTTTCTCTGAACAAAAGCGATGTTTTAAACTTACACAAAAACTCCACAGCTCTTCTTATGTGAGCAGTAGTATCTGAGTAAGCAGCAGGTGAACAATAAGATGTAAATAACATAATCCCAGTACTTAAGAGCAGCTCTTCCTTGCCGTGCTCAGAAAGTGAATACCTATCAGAAGAGTTCTTAATTTCTAGCGATCTTTTTTGCAGGAGTTTGACAAGAAATACAATCCCACTTGGCACTGCATCGTGGGAAGGAACTTTGGCAGCTATGTGACTCATGAGACCAAGCACTTCATCTACTTCTACCTCGGCCAAGTTGCTATTCTTCTTTTCAAGTCTGGTTAGAACCACGGACTGTTACTGAAACTTGCATCCAGTTACAGGACTCTCTGACTAGTTACTGCAGCCTTCCTGAGGACACAGGCCTTGATCTTCAAGGGCAATGGCAGGGATTGTTATAGCAGATGATGTTACATTGTGGATATAAAAAGGAAAAGTACCAAAAAGTCTTCCTTGTATTTATTTTTTTTTAGAAGGCTCCTCCTTTGCTAGTAGAGCTGTTGGAGCAGTTTTTCTTTTGAGAGTTCTATAGCCATCTACTGTATTTCCCCATTACTGCTAGTGCTATGCAAGTACTGACAGTGTTTAGTTCTTTATGTTCCAAGCCTCTCTTATTCTTATTTTACTTTTTTAAAATAATTTTTCCTCTCTTGTTTTGCTGGATGTGCTGCCCCAAAGCCTGAACTGTTTCTTTTCCTGCTGTCTTTGGAGAAGCGCTTTGGATAATAAAAGACAAGATCTCCAGCCAGGTCACTGTTTCTGGCCCATTTGTGCTGTCGTCGTGGCGGTGGGTGACTGGGGCCGGGTGAGGAGCGGGATCTGGGCTCGGTGTGTGGGGCAGCGGTGTCCCGGGTCCCGCAGCTCCCGAGGACTACGAGTCCCGTGGTGCCC